GGAGTCCATAACAGTGTTAACCATGACACTTCCTGTTGCCAGCAGGTGGCGCTATGACTATAACTGAATATGGCATAGACATGTGTTCAGGACAGAACAGCTATCAAACGTGTGAAGTTTGGGGCAGATCGGACATTGCTTGCATGTTGCATGTTTCATGGCGAAATAGCAAACTTTGTCAGGCCGCCAGGGACACGCCCCTTGACGAAAACTCAAGATCTTCACAATTTAACATCACAAAGGCCTTATGATGACCCTCACCAAATTTGAAGATGAAGTTAGTGTAAAACAAGTCATTTCCTGTTGCCAGCAGGTGGCACTATAATTATAAATGAATATTGGCTTTTAGATATGTTCAGGACACGCCCCTTGACGAAAACTCAAGATCTTCACAATTTAACATCACAAAGGCCTTAAAATAACCCTCACCAAATTTGAAGATGATCCAATTAAAACTGTAGGAGGAGTTCGTCAAAGTACAAGGCCTGGAAATGGCAAAAACTGCACAAAAATCGGATTTGGATTTGGATTTGGATTTTGTACCAAGAGACTTTTTTGTAGGTAATGGTGTGTTACATGTGTGTACCAATTTTTGTACATGTAAAACGTAGCTCGAGGCACACTACGTTATGTTTAGGCCCTCAAAAATGCGATTCACTTTGGAGAAGAAGAAGAAGAAATGGAGCAATTCCAATAATTCGATATTACTTGTATAATATTAAATTATTATTATTATCTTTATTATTATTTATAACATGGTTGTTGAGATCACAATGTCTAGTTTCGGAGTAGAAACTAAATTTTGTACAATTTAATTTGTTATAATTTAATATTATTTATAATGTCAAACAGCTATTTCCTGGTGGTTTTTAGCCATTTGCATGACTGACAGTTTTAAGGAACTGGGGAAGTCGTGGCCTAATGGTTAGAGAGTCGGACTCGTAACCCAAAGGTTGTGGGTTCGAGTCTCGTTCCGGCAGGGATTGTAGGTGGGGGGAGTGAATGTACAGCGCTCTCTCCCACCTTCAATACCACGACTGAGGTGCCCTTGAGCAAGGCACCGAACCCCCAACTGCTCCCTGGGCGCCGCAGCAAAAAATGGCTGCCCACTGCTCCGGGTGTGTGTTCACTGCTGTGTGTGTGCACTTTGGATGGGATAAATGCAGAGCACTAATTCTGAGTATGGGTCACCATACTTGGCCACATGTCACGTCACTTTAAGGTCTCAACATCTAGTTTTAGTGGAGAAACTCACAGTAAGAGCACAATCAGCAGTAAGATGAATCCACATCTCTTTGATGTCTTTCTGACCTTCTCTATCTGTCTCCCGTAGGTGATCTTCAAGCGACCCGTGCTTTGATGATTGTGGGTATCATTGTGTCCATTTGCGGTCTTGGTGTGGCCTGCATGGGCATGAAGTGCACCACTTGTGGAGCTGATGACAAAGTTCGCAAGGCTCGCACGGCCATGACAGGAGGCATCATACTGCTAGTGGGAGGTGAGTGTATGTGTGAGCGAGATACTGAGACTGTTCATGCAAGTTTACAGTAAACCATGTTTGAACTGCTCTTATATAACATCAGTCTCTGCTCCGTCTGTGGGTCAATGAACATCAAAGAAAACAGGGTAGCTAATGCTAAACTAGCCAGTGCTTTGAAGGTATTGGCTAAGAAAGATCCTCTGTCTTTTTTTTTTTTAAGTTTCTGTATTTTGTTCCTACAGCCCTCTGTGCAGTTGTTGCCTGTTCGTGGTTTGCCCACAATGTGATTCGAGCTTTCTACAACCCCTTCACTCCAGTCAACACCAAGTGAGCACAAGGAATTCTACTTTGCACAATTTCTGGAGCAGAATGTCCCAACTCTGTTCCTGGATGTCCCCCAAAAAGACACATTTTGGACGTCTTCCTTATCCAACACACCCATTTCAGTTCTTGGAGCACTTCTACTAGTGCTGATGAGTTAAATTGGGTGGGTTCGATTATGGAAACATGCATGTATGTAAAACGTAGCTCGAGGCACACTACGTTGAATGTGTACAGGTGGCGCTATCGAGCCATTTTGCCACACCCACTTCTGAAACCCATATCAGATGTAAATTTCGCCAGTTCTGACGCATGTGCAAAGTTTCATGAGTTTTGGAGCATGTTTAGGCCCTTACAAAATCTAAAGTGTTGGGAAGCATCCAGGAACCGGGTTAAGAAACACTTTGAAACTTTGACCAAATGCAATTATATAGTAAAAAAA